ACAGGGCTAACATACTTGCCTCACTTGATACACACTCAGCTTGCAAAATTGCAAGTGATCTTTCTCCCTTATTTTTAAACCATAATTCCCCTTAAGAGGCTTTAGAAAATTAGATGACTTATTATGATCATGAAATATTGTTTGTTGTCAGGAATGCAGCATTTTCTGAACGACCAAACCAACTAGGAATAAACCCTGATACTGAGCTTTACATGCCTTACCATCTCCATTAGTCCTTAAAGAAGAGAAGAAAAATGCAACTCATTTCAAGAACGTCATAATTTGTTTTTTGAAAATAAACTTTTGCTTACTGTGAATTTCACTAACTAAAAAACTTAAGGATTGATTGGTGAAGTAATTTTTTTCCAATGAAAAGTATCTTTGGATGATGTGAACAGATTAGAATTATGAAGTAGTCTGGCCATGTTTAAGCACTGAAGATGCCATTGGCTTCATTGTGTGCGAGATCAAATTGTCACTTGTACAAGGAACTGGGTTTGGATACTATGAAACTTGTGCCAAAAAGGCAGAAATTCATTCACCTTTGAGGTGAATACATAATCTCAAGCAAAAGCAACAGAAGAGGAAAATTAGTACATCTGAAAGGTAAAACTCCTTTTTTCAAGCAAGGGGTTGAAGCCTTACATCTACCTGGAGACAGCAAACACCATGAAAAGAACAGCAGTACAGGTTTTCTTTCCCTGCTTTGACACAGCGCTTTTACAGCCTTGACCTCAAGAAGCTATTCCTCAGGTGGCATGGTAGATCAGTCCCGAGAGCTGTTTCTTCATTGTCCGGCTGGCAGAGCCTACCAAAAACCTGTTGGATAGGTTTCCATCACACTTGACCTGGACTGAGTTTGTTTTGTTCTTGTGACCCAGAGGTGTGAAGCATCCCTACAGCTATTCTGTCTCCTGATGACTGTTACTCATAGTGCAAACTCTTTTTCTCAGAAGGTTAATTTAGCGTATAGATCAAATATATAGAAGAATTAGGCTCCAGCCAGCTGCACAGCATACAGAACCTGCTGACGCTGGAGCTGCAGCAGCTCCACATGTATGTCTGGGAAGGAGTACCCCATCCACGTAACTGAGAGGTCTGTGTGGCCGTAACTGTTGTTGCATAGCACAATAAAATGCCGAGGGAACAGAAGCCCACAGCTTTGTGTTGAAATTGTCCAAACACCCACCAGAGATCATGATCTCTGCTGACCCTACTGAAACTTATTGAAACCCTTCCTCATAAGGTCTGGCGCTGACAAATCCCAGAGGGACTGGAGGGATATACTCCCGTGCAAGGACATGAGCTTTCTCTTGATATTAAATACCAAGGTTGTGCACCCACCACCTCAAGAGTGTCAAGGACCTGAAAGCATCAGTAAGCCTTAATCATAGAATTATAGAATCATAGAATGGTTTGGGTTGGAAGGGACCTCCAAGATCATCGAGTTCCAACCCCCCTGCCATGGGCAGGGACACCTCCCACTAGAGCAGGTTGCTCAAGGCCCCATCCAGCCTGGCCTTGAACACTTCCAGGGATGGGGCAGCCACAACTTCCCTGGGCAACCTGTTCCAGTGTCTCACCACCCTCATAGTAAAAAATATCTTCCTGATATCTAATCTGAATCTTTTTTCCTCCAATTTAAAACCGTTGCCCCTTGTCCTATCATTACACCTCCTGGCAAAGAGTTCTTCTCCAGCTCTTCTATAGGCACCCTTCAGGTATTGAAAGGCCACTAGAAGGTCTCCCCGGAGCCTTCTCTTCTCCAGGACCTTCTCTTAATGGACCTGACCAGCCTTGTCTGGCCTCCATCTCTCACACCCACCCCTGGGCACCAACCGCACCTCTGTCCTGGGCTGGTGCCTCCTGCCATGACTCAGCCACAGCCATGACTCCGCTTGGACAAGGATGTGGCAAGCCAAACCTTGATCCCCGTCACCATGGGATCTGCTTGTCAGCTGCTGGCTTGGTCCTGACCCTGAGCAGCAGGCTGGCTTCCTGGTTTCACCTCAGACCTGCCTCATCACTGCCATACCTCCTCATGGTCCAGGCTGTGATTTGGCTGGTAGCCCTGTCCTACCTCCTGGTTCTCCAATCCCCAATGAGCAGTGTCCCTTGCTGCTCCCTGACGGAGAGGGTACAGCAGACTTAGGCTGGTGGCCTTTGAGAGGTGATGTTTTCTCACACATTGCACAATCTTGTGCAGACTTTCACCATTTTGGCCTCATATATCTAGCTATACAGTCAAAGGGGTATTTCACAACAACATAGCTGCAAGCTATCTTCGATCCATGCATTGGGTTCTAGCAAAAAAGTGGGACTCTGAAGTGTTTAGAGCAGTAGTTGAGGCATAGACAACATGCATTCAATTCCACAGACTTTCTCTGTCACGGTATGCAAGCAGTTCCTCCAGCCACGACTGCACGTGGCTATTGGTACAGTAGCCACTGGTCAAGCTGCACAGAAAACTGAAACCCTGGCACTGTGCCTGACCTGGCTCTGTTCATCTGTTGGTTTTTTTTTTTTTGCTCCAGAGTATCCAAGCAGATCAAATTGTTGCTGTCATAGGTGGTGCCAAAGTCCTTTCAGGAGGGCTGCAGAGCCAACTTGTCTGCACTGTATTGGCTAGTGGTCACGTCTGCAGGACGGGCTGTGTGAGTCGCGTCGCTTTTTAGCCACCCACCGCAGCAAAGATGTGGTTAGACCTGCATAACACCTTAGTGTGGGGCTGAAACTATTTTCTTTCTGCCAAGTCCGAGTCCCCATCTGAATCTGGATACATCTCCAGAAGCTACAAGTTCAGCAGGAAGGTGAATTCAGGCCAGTGACTGAAATACAGCACAGATACCACCTGCGCTGCTGTCCCACACTTGCAGACCAAGAGTAACAGCAGCAGAGTTTGCACGATGCAGAAAGACTATGCAACAGGGAACTATATGGTAGGGGGGGGAAACACCCAACTACAGTATTTACTTCTTTCTATTTGTTTTACATGGTCATATTGAGTTTGGTATTTTAAATCTTTACTTGTTAAAGGGAATTTCAGTGAGAAATCAGTTGTCTATGCTAAGCTTACTTCACTGTGTGATCAGGCAAACACAACTATTTGCACTCCCCTTGACTTGGATCTGCTGTGTCCACTAGTGAGACTATATCTTGGAGTGTGACTTTTAAAACTCTATCAGAAAAGATCCATTTCAGCGATGCTCATGAAAGTCAGTAAGAACATGTCCTTGTCTTGCCCATCAAAGTTTCATTATTTTTGGATCAATCCACGAGCTGAATCAGCTGAGCATACTCACAGGAACACTTGGCTTAAGCTCAAGGAAAGTGACAAGGTGGTGGAAGGGGGCTTAGAAGGGAAGGCAGTTTGGCAATGCACTAGTTGTAAGCCAGACTATGGATCCTGTGAATCTGTACTCTTGGATTCTGGATTCCATTCGGTCTCTTTAGATTACCCCTTCCTTGCTCTGTGCTTCATTTCCTCATCTGTAGGAATAGGTACAAGCTCCTTCCCTCTTTAAAGGATACTCTAGGGAGCATTAGCTGCTTGGGTACAATGAGGATGGAGGTAAAATATCCAAGTTTACAAGAGGAAATCCCAGACCTTTCACATTTATATGAAGTTAGATCTGCTTCAGGTCAGTACAAGGAATTCAGACAAATGGAGTGGGGAGGAAAACAGGAAAAGCTTCCAACAACATGCTTAAAAATGTCACCCCTTTCACAAGTGTTTGCAGCATGTCACAGCCTCACCTCAGAGTAGCAGACTCCTCTGCCACATATACATAACAGCTATCTCAATTCATTTTCAGAAGGAGCTGTGTATTTTTCTCAGTGGTAATACATTACGAATGTAAAGAATTATGGTGACTCTTGCTCTCAAAGCAGAGTTAAAGCTACAGGGAGGAAAACAAATAAGCAGGTTTTTCTCCTGACCTAAGATATGTCAAATCGGCTCTCTTCACTTCTGTAGTTTGTCAGTTACTCGTATTTTAAAGTTTCCTATTTGGTCTATGCTGAAAGTGATAGCACTTATGAATCACTTGAATCCCAAGAAATAGACACATACAGCTGTATAGCCCATAAAGACAGATAATGGTTTGATATATTGAAAAAAAATAACAACAAAAACTGAACCCCAAACTGAAAGCATTTTGTCATGTGGACAATGCAACATGGAATTTGGCATCCAGAGAAACAACAGACTGCCTATTTAGCTCCAAACAATAGCGTAGTGGGCAAAATTATACTACCTGATTTCAAACAGTAATGATTTAATACAAGAAGCGATCAGCAGATCAGTGAGATGCGAGGCTGAAAAGGGAGTTGCAGTCTGCACTCTGGCTTGTCCTTCTTCCCATGCTCTCCAAATGCTGATAGCCAGGGAGCTGAACTTGTTCCCAGTAGCCACACGTCAGAAAGTAATCACCGCCCTGGAAGAATCATACATTTCCAGGCATAAAGCAGCTCATATACAGGTACTCTTTGGAATATGCAAATTAAAATCATGTAAAATAAAAGCATCCTTGGATGCAGCTTGAGGACCTGTTCCATAACAAGGTCACTTACCTCTTATAGAGCCTCTTCCATCTGCAGAAAGCAGTTTGTAAAGAAAGTGTGCATCATTAGAACTATTTCACCACCAAGGAAATGGAAATCCAGAAAAGTCACTTCAAAAGCTAAGCAAAGTCCTGCACCTGGGATGACACAACCAAAGAACCCAGTACAGCGGGGATCTGTGTGGTGGTGGAGCAGCCTTGCTGAAAGGGAGCTGGAGGCCCTGGTGGACAGCAAGATGAACATGAGTCAGCAGTGTGTCACTGCAGCAATGAAGGCAAATCAGATCCTGGGCTGCATCCACAGGTGCATGACTAGCAGAGATAGAGATCCCACTCTACCCAGCACTTGTCAGGCTGTACCTGGAGTACTGCATCCAGTTCTGGTCCCCACAGTTCAAGAAAGACACTTACAGACTGAAGAAAATCCAAACGAGGGCCATGAAGATGATCAAAGGATTGGAGAACCTGCCCTATAAGGAAAGACTGAAGGACCTGGGTCTCTTCTTCCTGGAGAAGAGGATGCTCAGAGGAGACCTCATCACAGTATGCCAGGGGTAGCTACTTAAGGGCTAGCTACAAAGGGGACAGAGGCTCTCACTTCACAAAGAGCCACAAGCAGAAGACAAGGGGCACTAGGTACAAGTTGCATTGGGTGAAGTTTCAACTTGACATAAGAACGACGTTTTGTGCAGTGAGAACAATCAGTCACTGGAACAACCTCCCAAGGGATATGGTACTGCTGGTGGTTTTCAAGATGGAACTGGACAGAGTGCTAGAGAATCTCATGTAGGTTCTCTTTCCCACAAAAGTTTGGCCCAGATGATCTTTCGAGGTTTTTTTCTATGATTCTGTGACGTATGTGGGGTGTGTTGCCCTGTAGCCCAATACACAACTAATGGAGAGAAGAACAAAGAGAGGTGCAAAAAAATTTAAAACACACCTGAGCAATTTTGATAGACTTGGTGTACATTGTGAATGATGTTCAGAACTGGACAAGCTGGGAGCAAAAAAAAAAAAAAAAGACAGTGTTTTATACATACATGTGGATGCTTGAACAGTTTTGCTACTGGCACAGGGCAAGACTCTCCATATCAAGTGAGTGTCCCAGAAAGGGTTTCCTCACTAATTTTCCTGTTGTTACCATCCCCATTAAAACTGCTACCTCTTCAGGCCAGGCTATAATTTTTCAATAACTTTTTTCTGCTTTTTGTATTAATGATTCCTGTCTAGAAAACAGATCACATTGAACAATGACCAATCTAGAATCTTCACAGTGTGTTTTCTTTAAGACTTTAAATAGAAAGAACATTTGTAGAAAAACTGGGAGAATCAAGGAAGTAGATAAGGTATTCTGACATTAAGTCAATTTCAGAGCAGAGAGGTCCAAAACAGTGTTTTCCTACAATTCCCTGCAAGAAGGTAAAAAAGAAATATCTTGTGTCTTCATTTGGAAAGAATATTGCCAGCTCACAGCTTGCACAACTTTGAAGATAGAAGGAAGATAGTGAATGAGTTAAACACAAGATTATTATAAGAGGTTTGTCTTATGCTGAGTCAATCCAAAATTATTTTCTTGTATCCCCTTTCTTTACAATCAGCAGAAAGGAAAAATTCTTTTTTCAGCTGTTTTCTTCTGGTGTTTCCTGGTTTAGAAAATATTTTCTGGTATATATGGGGTTTTTTTATTTCTCCATTCACACAGTTCCTAAAAAAGGATATTATGGCCTACTACTGAAGTTGCAAGAAAGAACCCAAACAAAACTAACTAACTTTCTTCTTACTTAGTTTTGGTGATCAAGGAGATCTTGTGATCAGGATTTATCTACTCAAGAGAAAAGAACAGCTAAATACAAGCGACTCTAAGAGAGTTGAACCACAGGCAGTTTCCCCGACTCTGCTGGAAACTTTAGGGTTTGCAAATCTAGAAATTGTGTCAAGGAAAATCAAAAGTTTTATAATTTTCTCTATAAAATGCAATACCCTACTTATAAAATAACTAGAAGTGTGTTAGAGTACTAATAATACTAAGTGCACTGCTATATTGGTGCAAGTATTATATTACGAATGCATTGTCAGTTTGCCAGTAGTTCCTGGGATGCACCAGCTGCTTCAGGGACACAGACCCGGCCAGGGCATGAGGAACCGAGCCAAACAGACGGTGTTGCTGAAAGATTTGGTGGTTGGATTCTCACTCATCTAGCAAAGCCTCAGCATTGCTTTTGCAGAGGTGAGGTGTTCATAATGTTTTACTTTTGTGGATTCTGTTTCATGTACCAAGAACAGAGCTTAGATTGTTATCTTGCTTTTTATTGAAGAAATAGGGTCTCCCTCTTTATTTCTTTTCTCCTTTATATAAGAGAAAGTGTAGAATCCGAAGTTTTCCCATATATCAAGTACTGCTGAAAGTCCAATCTATAAATCATAAACTGGGTGGCAGTGGGAGGAGAGCAAACATAAACTGTTCATTTTGCACTTAGAGAACCAGGCTAAAAAGTAGATTATCAAAGGGGAAGGATTAAAATCCTGGAATATGCCCACCACCACCTCTTTTTTCATTGTCCTCCACCATGAAGACCAAACCAATGGTTTGTCACTGAAGCCACCAGCTTTTTTTTTTTTTTTTCCCTATGATTGACTTGCTGTTACAGATTGTATCTTCCCACACAGGACAAAGTGAAAAAAAATTTTAAACAAATAACTCTGTGGGACAGCGGAGCAGTGCAGAGGTACATAGGATGCTGTAGCAGCTTTATCAAGGCTACAGTTGCAATCTGATTATTTTACTCAACACCTGGGATTGCTGCTGAGGACAAAACAGTGTGTCTCTTAAGTTTTTCTTTGTTTAGGCTGCTCAAATTGTATCTAATTTAGCTTATCATTTCAGGCAATTTTCATTTTCAAATTAAGGAAACATTAATATGTTTGTCATAAAATTGGTTCCATTTACATAGCTTTCCACGCATGTGAGTATTGGGAGAGAGAAAAATTTGTTTAGAAATATCCAGCAGAAACTGTTCTTCACCTTTTCTCTCAGGCTGTAAACTTTTGTGGTTCTCAGCTGCCTCTCTGTTACAAAGACAATCAAATTACAACCCCATCTTCCCAACAGCAATTAAGAGGGGTTAGGTAAAAATCTACAGAACTCCGCCCTCGGGCTATTTCTGGAGAATGATCAAAATGCAAAGGTCTTCATGTCTCTGTCTGGCATCTGTGTGTGTGCATGAAGGGGAAAAGGCATCAGAGGAATGAAAAGTGGCTGTGAAAGAGCTTAAGTCTAAGGTCTAAGTTATATATGTCTGGGAGGCTAGTCCTCCTTATGACGTGTCTGGGAAGAGTTTCATAAAAAGAAACATCTTTCATACTCCTTAGAAAAGCAAAATGCCACAGCCTTTGTGGACTGCTGCAGGAAGGGCTTGGTAAGACTCCTTTGTTGCAAGTAGTCCTTGCATGTTATTTAATTTTATGACGTGCACATCTGGTCATCTTGTTAATCCTGAAAATACGCAGGGAAGTTTTCTGCCTCAGGATGATGTCTTTCTCTAGTGAACAAGATGAAAACATCTCTGTAATTTTTTAAATTTATTTTATTTTTTAAAATCTGAGACAAAATAAGATGTTCTACAAATTGACTTTTAAAAATATTTAACTCACATAAAGGTTTAGTGATTTGAAAACCAGTTACTTGCATTCTCCTAGATCAAGACAGGCCTAAACGATGTCCCAGATTTACCACCCTGCCTGTTTGCTTGGGTGGCTTACTGCTGTAAGAGGCAGCTGTCAGCAAAAGCTAGGTGGTTGATCAAAATATTGGTGTATGGGAAGGAGCGACTAGGTATTCCTAATTATGCTAGCCAGGCAGCTGTGACCAGCACAGATGACAGTGTTACAATATTGATAGCAAATCTACTACTTTCCGTTGTTTAAAGCCAGTGCTATGCACAATTATTGCAACAAACCTCTACGTTCTCTTTTGTATTTTTCTCAGGTTAGACAGGAGACAATGCTATGAAAGAGATTTTAAGAAATAGTAGGGCTAGGTGTACCATAAGAATTTGTAAAATAATTGCAATTTCCTCTTAATTCCTGAAAATTCATTATATATTTAATAACATACAAATTGCATTTGTTCTGCGAGGAGCTCTAAAAAGTTCTGTTTAAAATTTCACTTTGCTCTTTTTCTCTGAGGAAACGTTGACATGCAAGCAAGTAAACAAAATCTCACTTTTCCCAATCTGTAGGATCATTCACATTGACTTACAGAGTACACACCTATATTAAACTGAGGGTGAATGCCAGGGGTTCATGGTAAAGTTGGAACAAAACAAAATAGTGCCTTGTGTCATCTTGCGGCAAAAGAGTGGCAAACTTAAATAATGAATTCAGAGTTTATTTTGGCTGATGATAGATCTTCTATTTAGAAAATAAAGACATTACATGAGATTGCTTACCTATCTTTCCATGACAAACAGTTATATGGGGGTTTATTACTGCTTTTATTAAATATTATTTCTTTTCAGTAAAATGCTTCATTGCTTGTAACTGTGGGAGGTCTTGGGAGAGTGGAGGAGTTTTTGACTTGTCATGGAGAGACCTGTTGATCTGATGGAAGTGGGATCCCATGGGATGCCTCTCCCTCCTCCATTGCAGGGGCAGCTCTTTCAGAGACAGCACTCAAGAAGGGGAGGATTGAATGAAATTGGTCCCTTTTGTGGAGTGTTGTTCTGATGAACCGCTCAAGAAAAGCCACAAAATCAAAGACTGTGACCCTTAAAGACAGCTTTTGTTTCAAGGAAGAAATCTGGTGGGTTATGAGGTGCTGCTGGAGTAGGAAAATCAAGATGACCAGTAGGTATCAGTTGTCGGCTTGGAAATGTTGTTATCTTATAAAAATTAGAAATTAACCAAACCCATTAAACTTCTGCATCTATCAACTCACAAACACTGAGATTTGTGAATCTCTAATGAGCTAAAGAAATGTACCATTTCCAAAGTACAACTTTCTCTACCATCTTTGAAAGTTTGGATATGAATCCATGTTTTCTAAATAATTATTAATGAACAGGAGTGTATCATGAGTATTAGATATAGCAACTCATAAACGTTTAGATAAATGATGCCAGGTAAGAGTAACTTCAGTCATCATTTTGAGTAAACTGAATGTAATTAGAATGGATACAGTCCCTTGGGGTATATGTATTTGTTCCAAGTACATATAAGCATAAAGCCAAAATGATTTTTCCATTATTTCAGCATGACATAAGGGAATTATCATGTTTTCTAGGAATTTAGTGCCTGACAAAGACCATCTGGGAGCTACAACCAAAAAAAAAATCAGTAAGAAATAAATTTTCATTAAGAAAAGAAACTTCCTTCTTAACTTTACTAAATAGTGAAGTATTTTCATTTGTCAGTTTGAGGTGAACTGAAGCATTTTGTTGTGAGGTTTGTTTGGTTTGGAGTTTTATTTTGCCTGTACCTGAAATATTTCAACATTTTTTATACTTCATCTCTATTTTATAGTACTGTGGACAATTGTGGGGGTT